CATATACTCTCTCCCCAGGTGATCACATACCAACGTCTACCCCACCCCCTAGCCCCACCCCCATGATCTCATTTCATCTTCAACAACCCCTAACTAAGAGATAACTCAAATATACTTCTCAGGTGCTAAAATTAGCGGGGAAAAGCTTAATGAGAAATGGGGAAATAGACTTAAAGTATCTTCCACAATTACAGACAGAAAAAAATTTTTACAGTGGAAAAGCCTGACAGATACCATCTTAATCAAGTGATCAGAATTATCACTAGTAATAAGAAAAATAAAGATCATGTGCCTGGATAAAGTTCACAGAGAAGAATTCAACATTACCTCTGTGGTATTCTGGCCAAAAATGCGTACGTTCAATCTTAATCATAAAGAAACATCAGACAAACCCCCATGGAGAGACATTCTACACAATAAATCTCTGCACTCTTCAAAAATGCCAAAATCATGAAAGACAAAAAAAATCCGGGAAACTATTCCAAGTTAATGGAGAGCAAAGGGACGTAACAGCTGAATGTGACATGTGATCCTAGATTGGATCCTGGACCAGAAAAAAAAATGGTTTCCATTTTATATATAGAACAGTAGTGGAATAATTGCCAAATTTTGAATAAGGTCTGTCGATTAGATAATAATACTGCATCTGTGTTAATTTCTAGAGTCTGACAATTATATTCTGGTTATGTTGGAAAATGTCTTTTTTTTTTAAGTAAATATACATTAGTCAGGATTCTCCAGGGAAACAGAACCAATAGTAGATAGGTAGATTGATAGATGGTTTTATTATAAAGAATTGGCCTCTTGATTATGGAAGCTAATACGTCCCAAGATCCCCAACATCTTCAGGGTAAGCTGGCAAGCTGGAGACCCAGGAGAGGTGGGTCTGAAGGCCTGAGTACCAATGGTGTAGTTCCAGTCCAAAGGCTGAGTCTAAGCCCCAGGGGAAGCCAATGTTTCCTGTGAGTCTAAGACTGGAAAGAGCCAACTTCCCAGTCTCAAAGCAATCAGGCAGAAGGAAGTCTCTCTCTCAGGAGAGGGTCAGTCTTTTTGGTTCCATTCAAGCTTTCAACTGGTTGGATAGGGCCCATCTACATTAGGGAGGGCAATGTACTTTATTCAATCCACCAATTCAAATGTTAATCTTACTCAAAATACCCTCAGAGAAACACCTGTATATGGCCAAATATCTGAGTACCAATTGTCTAGAAGATGGCACATTAAAATTAACCATCACAGTTAGAGTTTAATGGGCTTTATCTCTGAAACTTGGTCTCAAAATAGTTCAGAAAATAATTACATACGTGTAGATAGATACATACAAATAAAGCAAACATAGTAAATGGTTAATATTTGGGTAATCTAGGTATCAGGATAAAGGATATACAGGAATTATCTGAACTTTTTTAACTTTAGATGCACAAACCTTGTAATTATCCTTGACATTTTCCCTCCTATAACCAAGCCATTACCACACCCTATAGGTTTTGCTTTCCTAATACACATCTTGTAGCCACAATTTCTCTCCATTTCCACCACCACCACCACCCTCCCTTGGTCCAAGTCAGCATCACCTCTCACCTAGACTGCTACAGTAACCTCCCAACTTGCCTCCCTGCTTCCACCCTTGCCTCCTTTACAATCCATTCTCCCCCCGAAGCCAATGATCTTTGCAGAATACAGACTTAAAGTCAGCTAAATGCAATTCATGATCCTTGATTGATTTCTGAAAAGTAAACATTTATCATGTTTATTTAGACTGTCTTAGACTGTGCTGATATTACAAAATACCACTGACTGGGTAATTTATAAACAGAAATGTATTTTCTCACAGTTCTGAAGGCTGGGAAGTCCAAGGTTACGGCACTGATAGGTTTGGTATCTAGTGAAGGCCAGTTTCTCATAGATAGGCCATTGAGGTGTCCTTACATGGCAGAAGGGACAGAAGGGGCCAGCTTGCCTCCTTGAGCTCTTTGAAAAGGCATTAATGCATTCTTGAGGGTGGAGCCCTCATAGCCTTATTGCCTCCTAAAGGCCCCACCACTTCATACCAACACAATGGATTAATTTTCATTCTGGAGGGGACATATTCTGGAGGGGACATATTCAAACTATAGTAGACACCAATGAGACAGTTGGGGAAATCTGAATGTGATAATAGTATTGTATGAATGTTAAATGTCTTGGATGTGGTAATGGTATTATGGATATGTATAAAAATGTCCTTGTTCTTAGGAGATATACATTGAAAGTACATAGCAAATAAGTGTAAATAATTTTGTGGCTGGGTGCAGTGGCTTATGACTGTAATCCCAGCACTTTGGGAGGCTGAGACAGGCGGATCACTTGAGGTCAGGAGTTCCAGACCATCTCTACTAGAAATACAAAAAAATTTAGCCAGATGTGATGGCACAAGCCTGTAGTCCCAGCTACTTGGGAGGCTGAGGCAGGAGAATCACTTGAACCTGAGAGGTGGAGGTTGCAGTAGGCCAAGATGATGCCACTGCACTCCAGCCTGGGCGACGGGGTGAGACTCTGTTTTATAAAAAAAATAATTTTGGCCGGGCACGGTGGCTCAAGCCTGTAATCCCAGCACTTTGGGAGGCCGAGGCGGGTGGATCACGAGGTCAAGAGATCGAGACCATCCTGGTCAACA